GCATTCTATTTCTCGTTTTCGTTTTCTTGTTGGCAAACTCTCGATGCTTGTAGCTGCTGCATCGTGAGTTTGAGGGGAGATGTTAAGAAATATATGATTATTTTGTTAACATTATTTATTAAGGGTAGAATAGTCTTTTAAGTTTTCTTTATTTTAGACTATATATAGTCTCTTTATATCTAAATTTTATTCATTCAATTACATTATGCAGAATCAATAAAACCCTAACCTCTTTTTTCTTCTTCTCTTTGGATTGTTTAACAATCTTTACTTCTTTAATTGAAGATAACAAAAAAAACCTACACATTGTCGGCTATATACTAACTTGTTCAAAGGTCCCAGACATGGCCCATGCTATACCTCTAAATTGGTTTATTACAAGTAGATGGATCTAACCTTAGGAAAAAAAAAATAAAAAAAAAAATCCGCAGTAATGCCCTGTTTAACAAATAAATTTGTTCACAGGCTGCAAAGTTATTTCAAGAAGTAAAAAGATCGTGAATCAATTTCGGAAATGAAAGACGAGACCTCAATTTATCTCAACATGACAATTTATCTTATGTTTAGTTTTGCTAAAAATCAGATTTTAACAGATACGATAAAAGCTGACGAAATATGTGGTAATTTGATGTAAATTTTCATTAATTTTTTTTAGTTGAATAAACAGACCGGGGCTTAGTGCAAAAATAAATTAAGAGAAAGAAATAGATTTTACAATATCATATTATTAAAAATGTGTGCTCAATTAAAATGTAGAGTAGGAGCCAGACAAGTGAATTGGTCACTATGGGCTCAACAAAAATTTACAGTTAAATAAATTCTTGTACGAACACAAGAAGGGGAAAGAACAATGCATTTCCTGAATCATAATTTAATTACAGTGTGCCGATAAAAAAAATATTATACAGTCTATATTTGAAATTGTGTATAAATTGTTTTATTTTTATTTTTATGTTATGGGTCAGTAGTAGCATCAGTTGTTGAACCGATTCCAACTTGAAGCCATTGGGATGAACTTCCACTTGGGTTCATGTCCTTTAGATCACTCAACTTTGCTAACTTCAACCTACTGTCTGCTTCATCATCAACACTGTGAGATGCGCTATTGCTATTATTGTTGTTTCCGTCAGCTCGGGGCGCATTATTTTTGTTGTTGTTATCATCTACATTTCTCTGATAGTATTCATGAGGATGGTTATCGATATTTTTGGTGTCTGTCTTGTCACCACCAGTGTTTATCCATGGATGTAGGTGTATATCGGTCGAGACCTCGAAGCTCAAAGGGTTATGTGGGTCCCGTCTTAAACCCGATATGTCGTCAGTCCATGCTGGAAGGTTAAGATCAAGGGCCTGGTCAAAGTTCTTGATTTTGGGCTTGTAGTGATTGATGGGCTCAACATGATGATGAAATTGGAGTTTTGTAGTGTCTGCAGGTGAATTTGAAGTGATCCAATGGCACCTTTTATGTCCACCCAAAGCTTGACCAGAGGAAAAAATCCTATGACAAATAGTGCATTCGTGGACTTTTGATTTCCTTCTTGCTGCACCTACTAATCCAGTAAGGCCTTGTTCAAATTGCATAGTAGGGGAATTATATGGTGATTGGGATGCAGGGAAAAATTCTTCACGTGTGATCACATCATCATCAGCTAAACTATGATCATCAAGCTGATGATCCTGATCTTGTTTGGCTGCATAACACCCTTTAACCTTCTTGTGACTTGCCCTATGTCCCCCTAATGCTTGATGAGAATTGAACACTTTTTTGCAGGCTTTGCATTCAAATATGCCTTTGGAATTATTGGATGATACCCCTTTACCCTTGTCTAAGGGAGTTGATGTTCGAGGCGAGAAAAAGTTGGCCATTGCATTCCGTCGTTCCACCTCCCGACTGGCGGAGGTGGAGGAGGACTCCATTTCCGCCACCATGGTCGGCAGCTCTACTCGTGTGTTGGCTAATTGTACTAGGCATTTTGCAAGGAGAAGGTCTTCATCTTCACTTGATGGATAAGCTGAACTAATAATAGAACTTCCCACTTTTGCACGCAATGATCTTTTCCTTTTGGTCCATCCTCCTCCGGCTCGTCTACCGCCTCCCTCGTCCTCCTCGGCTTCCGACTCCGGGGACGACAATAGTGACTCGGCATCGGAACTGCATTTTCCATGCTCCAAGAAAGCTTTCCAAGAGAAGAATTCCTTCCCACAGTTCTCGCAAATCCTACAACTTTTCAACCTATTAGGATTTGTTCTCAATTGATACATTCTCTTGTTACTTGTCCTATCATTCTTATCCTCCCAATCACTTGTGGGATCTTCTTCATCAAGATTTCCATTTTCATCCCCAATTCCATGAGCCCTCATGTGCCCACCAAGAGCTCTCCCACACATAAAGCCTTTCTTGCATACCTTACAATAATGCTTAAAATTTGGTGGTTGATCCTCAATGCAATCCATGAATACAAGAAAATTGAACTCAAAAATAAAGAAAGAAAGAGAAAAACCAATATGAATTGTGAAAAAACATGCATGGGGATGGAGTTTGTTCTTAAAGTAGAAGTTGTTGTAGGGTTGTATGGTGAAAAAAAGATTACTCCTAGTTTTTAGTTAAGAGTGATAGTTTGTGGATGAGAGAGAAAGAGGAGTGAGAGAGTATGGTGAGTTGGTGACAAGTGGAAGGAGGGCATGATATATAGTGAGAACTAGACATTTTCCACAGTCATGTAGTGGTGGCGCCGCCTGTCAATAACCTATACATACATAATTTCTCTGACTGTGGAGTGTTTCTCTCTCATTCATTCGTCCACAAAGAGTAAAAGAGACAGTGGTTCTAACTGCCAAAACTATTGACTTCCCTTCAAATCCAAGCCAAGAAAACTAATCGTTGTTCCTCCTTGTCTGTCGGTTGGTTTGAGCTGCTTTTCCACACAATTATTTACGATAAAGTGCATTTGATTACGATATTGAAATTTGTATGAAAAAAATTAATTCAAAGCAATTCAATTGTCTAAAACTTATTTGTATGAAAATTATTAATAAAATGTGTTTAATTGATTTATTTTTCAGTTTAAAACATATTATATTTGTTTATTTTTTATTAATGGGTAGATGAGATGAAGAAAGAGATCGCAAGGAAGGCCCTAGATGAGTGATTGACTGACCGTCAGGCTCTTTAAACCTTGACTCACCTTCCTAACCCGCTGTCATGAGTGAATTACTTGAAAAATAAAAATCATGTCTCCCTAAAAAAATATTCTCAATGCTTTCGAAGAAAATATGGTCACATGGCAAAAGGTTGGAAAATATTTTTCATAAAAAAAATAGTCAATCGAGCTTTC